GATATTATTTTATTATATTATTTGAATATATATATATATATATATATATATACACAATAGAAATACTTATGTTAAAAATTTACAATATATAACGTAAACCCATTATTCCGAACACAATCATTCGTTTAATTCATAAAATTCGACACTGACGTAGGATTACATTGAACAATATTTTTCGAATAACAGTTTACATGACTCGTATTATAATAAGTTTCAAATTAAAAATTGACATTACCAGTTGCACGAATGTTTTAAACAAAAAATTCTCTCTTTTATGGTTTCCATTATAATATCGTTCATTGGTAATTGGATCTAAAGAAAAAGTGAACGTTTGTTTCTATCGTTGGTTAAGTTGGTTTCGTGTTGCTTAAAATGGAAGTAAAATAATAGTTAGCTTGTTTGGCTACTGATGCTGATGGTGGTGGTGGTGGTGGTGGTGATGGTGGTGGAGTGTTTGCTCGCGAGGTGAACGCGAAGGTCAACAGCGTTCTCTCGTTCCCGTATGCGGGCATAGGGAAATGGAGCGCATTACCGTAAGGTAAGTAAGGGGCAAGGTACTTGACAGGTGAACACCAAGGTCAGTCTCGAGGTTGCACCAAGTCAGAAGTCATTGGTTAAATTCACGTGCTTAGAACAAAAAAAAAAGAAAAAGAAAAATGATTCGATGAGTTTTATTTTCGCGTGTTCTTTCATAAAATACATTCTTCTTATTATTATTATTGTTGTTATTGTTATGGTTATTCGTATTAACTTTGGGGAAAGAGAATTTTGATTATAACGGTACCCGGTTGTTATTACCGTTCGAAATTCTACGCCCTTTAGCCCTTAGGCCGAATAAAATTTCTGACGAAATTCTTTTCTTTTCTTTTTTTTTTTTCTTCTGGAATAACTTTCAAGGGTTTAACTGTAATCTACCTGAGAGAGAATATTACGGAGAAACCGAAAAGAAAAAAAAAAAAAAAAGAAGTAGAAGAAGAAGACCGGTACATGTCCGAAAAAAATAAAAATAAAAAGAAGAAGATCGGTATGATAACGGTGTTGTGATCTTGTAACTCTTTTTAATTTTTATTTTTATTTTTAGATATTATTTATTATTATTATTATTATTATTATTATTAATCTTTTCTTTGTTTTTTTTCTCGCGTTTACTACCGGTGATAGTGTATTAGTAGTATTAGTCTTGTTCAATCGTGGAAAATAGGTGTTAATTATATTTCACAGTAAATAATTAAATATAAATATATATATACGGAAAGATAAGAAAACAATTCTATAGAGTACGATCAGGATAAAGAAAAATTAAGAACAATTTTCATAGAATTCATAATTTTCTTTCCTTCCGTTTGTACATTCGTTCATAGAGAATTTCTTTTAAAAACAAACCCATGAACTATAAACTCACTTCTAGCCTTGTTACATTTTCTTACGAAAGAAAGTATGTGTGTGTGTGTGCGTAAAAAGAGGATTGGATAACGGTTAAAACGTAACACGGTTTTCTTATTGTTAGTTAGAACGAAATTATGGCATTTCGTATCGCGATCGCGAGAAGAAGAAGAAAAAGAAAAGGAAAGAACGAGAAAGTAGTCGCAAGTATAAATTTATCCATCATCATCATCATCATTATCATCATCATCATTCTCTAGGATAATATTATCGCTAATTTACGTTAGGATAATATAATGAACTACGAATTTTCTCAAGTAACATTGTTTATACCCTTTTTGTTCCTCGTTTGTTAACTTTTAATGACGTATAATAACATTTGTTGTATTCGTCATCATACTTTTTTCTATCATTTATGATGTTATACGTGTGATTTTAATCGAATGATATCGATTTCGAACGCGATATCACAAATCGTGTCGAAACGAGGAAAAGATTAATGTTTTTTTCTTTTTTGTTGTTGTTGTTATTGATACGTTGGGTTATTCGTTCTTGAGAAATCGATCGATTTATCGTACGAAAGTCTAACGATCTTTGACGTATCATAGTTATCTGGTCTTTATATTTCGCAATTCTCGTAATAGCGTTATTAAAAAAGTTCTGAATAAATATTTTTCAAAATTACTGTCAAAACATAAAATTGACAATCTATGTGATTTAATTATCATAACTATGATATTGTTTTTAAATATATGAATAGTTTTATTTTCAATCAAGGGAAAAGAGTTTTTATTAACTGTTCAGTTATAATAAACGTTTTCTATCGATAAATCTAAAGTAAAAGTCAAATGCGTTAAAAATACGCGACCTATTTGATAGTATTGTATAACTATGAGAAGATGATTAGTATGGAAATGATTCATACGTTATGAACCCATAAAAGAGAGAGAGAAAGAGAAAGAGAGTAAAAATACAAGATTAAATCTTAGGTGCATTTTTTGTTTTAGTAAAACTTAATATATTAATTAGGATAAGAACTTAAACAAAAAATATGGTTAGTGACACGTGAATTTATTACATAAAACTGACACAAGTATATATTTCTAAAAATGAACTAAAATATTTTGATTTGTAAACGATTCAAATCCCAGACTATTATTTTTTTTTAATAAGAAAAAAATGTATCGATTAGAAGTAATAATTAACAATTAAAATGAAATGGAATATTTCGATGATCATCGAGTGGCACGTAAATTTATTACATAAGACTGAGACAAGTATATATTTCTAAAAATGAACTAAAATATTTTGATTTGTAAACGATTCAAATCCCAGACTATTATTTTTTTTTAATAAAAAAAAAATGTATCGATTAGAAGTAATAATTAACAAATAAAATGAAATGAAATATTTCGATGATCATCGAGTGACACGTAAATTTATTACAAAAAGACAAACACAAGTATGTATTTCTAAAAATGAACTAAAACATTTTGATTTGTAAACGATTCAAATCCCAGATTATTTCTTTCTTTTTTTTCTTTCTTTTTTGATAAAAATAAATGTATCGATTAGAAGTAATAGTTAACAAATAAAAATGAAATGTGGAACATTTCGATGATCATCGAGTGGCACGTGAATTTATTACATAAAGATTTGACGCGTATCGAAACACGTTGTGTGTGATGTTAGTGGTGGTGTTGGTGATGGTAGTAGTAGTGGTGGTGATGATGTTTGGTGCATCGTTTGAAACGATAGAGTGCAACGTCGAGCAAAAGTCCTCGGGTGTGGTTCTCGAAATAGCAGCAAGCTAACTACAAAACCGGTGGCCCGTGTATAGTAGAGGACCATTTTCGTGCCGATATAAAATAAAGTGTTAGCCCATCGTGTTAAATACGACACAACAACTACCTAGTACAAACTCTGACGAAGACAAATATGATGACGAAGACAAACACGAAGACAAAGACGATCGATCGAGTCAACCCTTTCTATGTTATAAAAAAATCGTCTTTGCTCTAACTAAGACACGCAAATATCTCACTTCCGGATTCGGTTTTTTTTTTTTT